CTGCAGGCGGCCTAGCTGAGTACCGCTGGGCACAATCCGTGACCTGGCGGTTTCATTTATGGACACCTGGTCTGTGCTGGGCTCTGTGCTTCAAGCTGGGGACACAAGTTGTGGATGAGACCCGCAGGGCTGGGAGCAGGGCCGCGAGGTAGGCACTTAACCTGGGAGGTGAGGATGCCGGAGGCCCATGAGGGAGTGCAACCAGGGACCAGCTCCAGACCAGGGGAGATGGGTGTGCTCCTCCAGCTGGCTCTTAGGGTCAGGGTCTCTTCCAAGCAGAGGTACCAGCCCATGCAAAGGCCCTGGGGCTGGAGGAAATGGGGCAAGTTTGAGGACCTGAGGTGTGGCAGAGGGAGAGATGAAGGGGAATGGGGAGAAAGATGAGGGCACAAGTGAGCATGGCCCACAGACCTGGGCATGCTAAGGGCCAGTTCTTTATTCTGAGGGTAAAGGGGAGCTTTGGGAGGGTTTAACCAGGAAGCAGGGATGAAATAGGAGATTTTTCAGTGTGGGAAGATCATTCCCATGGCTCGGCTCTCTAGTCTGTAAAATGGGTGAGTGAGAGTATCTTCCACACTGGGTAGGACTGAGTGAGTCCCTGCGAGTGAGGACCCCCTTACCCGGCCTAGGTCCAGGTGCTTCTGCCACTGTGGGTGGGACCTTCCCCTAGAAAAGAACATTAAAACTTTATTTTATGACTTTGTTGGCATGAAAGGCAAGTATATTAACTTTATGTATTAAAAACTTTTCTTCAACCTAAAAGTTCTTTTTTTTCTTCTGGTTTCAAAAGATATTATATTTCATGAGTCCTAAAAAAGTATTATGGGCTCAGGCGCAGGCCCACAGAACCCTGCCTGGGCCGAGAGAGGGGGTCTGTTCTTTCAATGAGGTGCTGCCTGGAGGGCAGCAGGGGGTGAGCAGTAGGGGGCCACCAGAAGAGCAAGGGGAGTCCGGGTACCCCAGAGCCTCTGCTCAACCTGATTCTAGTCTCGTCAGTCCCCCTGCAGCCCGTGGAGTCCGATAAAGCCAATCTTGTCCTTCCCCAGCACAAACACCCCCGCAGCCCCTCGGCCATCCAGGGAAATGCTCGGCCTCCTTGGGCCCATTATGGGGCCTGCCCTGGCCTGCGCAGTGACCCCTCCCTGCCTTGAAGGTGTGTGTCCCCCTTCCTCAAGCCTCAGCTCCATTGCCACCTCCTCTGTGAAGCCCTCCCAGTCTCCAGACTTCCCCAAGCCTTGTACCTCCCTCACCTGTCATGGCATTTACATGCTCCCCTACTGGCCCCAGTACTGGAGCTCCCCAGGCTCCCGACTGTGCCATGTTTGTCTCTAGGTGCTTATTAGCACCTAGCACCCAGTTGGCACCCAGTTAAAATGTTTTGTGTAGAGGGTGAAGAAGGGTCTGGCTCGGCCCACTTTTGCCCCAGGGCCTCCTCCAACCTGTAGCGACAGGGGCCAAGCACTCAGGGCCTGGCCCTCACCCTTTCACTGGGCCGTGGCCATGTGCCAGCCCTAAAGCAGGCCGGGAGCTGGGACGCACACTGGGCAGCCGCTCCCCCCCAGCACCTGGGATGGCGCGGGTAGGACAGGGGAGGGCTGGGCCGGCGGGGGGGCGCCCTGGGCCTGGGAAGGTATAGGGTGGGCACAGGGCCACATGGGGGCTTGGGGGAGTGCATGCATGAGCAGTGGGGTGGGGGCGGGGCCCCCGGGATCCCCTGCCCCTGGCCTGGTGGACTGTTGGGACCGAGGACTTGGCAGGGACTAGCGTTGAGGGGTGTGGACCTAGTTTCTATCACAAGGTCACAGCCCAGCGCTGAGCCTCAGAGCCTGTTAATCAAGTCCAGTAGAGCATGGCGCACGCATGTCCACGGGGATGCAGCAGGACGGCCCACCTCGCTCTGCAGGGATCAGCCCATAGGTGGACTTGCTGGCAGGCTGCGGAAAAGGCCCCCCCAGCCCCCAAGGCACACACTCCGCCCCAGGAGCCCAGGCCCCCGCCAGAGCCAGGACAAGCCCCATCCCCTCCCCCAGGCCTGGCAAGGCCTGGGCCCTGCTTAGCTCCTCAGGAGCCCAAAGACCCCTGCTTGGCCAGGGCAGGTTTCGGTTCCTTGGGTGGGCTGGGTCACCAACCCTGGTTTGGACTGAAGTCCAGAGTTTGTCCTCATGTCACTGACTGCTCACCCGTCACCACACCTCAGCAGGAAGGTGTCAGAGACCCACTCAGGCCGAAAGAGCCTGCAGGGGTTAATAGTGTGGGTGCTGGCAACCAGCCACCCTGGCTCAAACTCCTCTCCACTCGCAAGTCTCTCCATGGGCCTGAAAAATGGGCTAATGATCATTTGTCAGTTGGAGCCTCAAACCAGTCTGAGGGGAGTAGGGCACGGGGGCAGCATAGTGGGGGGGACTGTGGACCAAAGAGCAGCGTCCAGCCTGAGGGGAGGAGGGAAGCGTGGCCAGAACTCCCCGCCAGAGAGGCTGAGCCCCCCACTGGGGGCCTGCCTGCTCCCCTTTGTGGGCCTTGTCCCCAAGCCATCCCCCAGCAGCCTGGCCCAGCTGTGAGGGTCTCAGGCAGTCTTACGGGAGCATCCGGTGGCCAGGCCCACGAGGAGAGGGTCAGACAGGGGCCGGGAGCTAAGAGGAGCAGAGGGTCTGGGTCCAGACCACCCGTGGGCCTGCTGGGCAAGGCAGGCTAGGGGAATAGGAGGACCCTGCAGACCAGCTTCCTAGCCCACCTCTGAGCCTGGGGACAGCCGGTGACCAGGTCTTTGCTGTGTACCAAGTCTGAGCTTCCAGCCCCAGCCCCACCTGCCTCTCCCACCTGTTGCTGCCAACACACCTGGCCGCCTGGCCGGCCTCTCCCCACTCAGCCTGGTGAAGTCCCTCCTCAGCCCCTGGATGTTCCTGGCCTTTTGGACTTGTGGCCGGTTCCCCCCTGGGCAGGCTCACACATGGTGGGGTTTCAGGGGTGCCAGGAAGGTGTGGGGTTGGCATCCCTTTCTAATGGGGGCCTGAAGAACAGCAGGTCAGTGCCCCCTCCTCTCCTACCCCTCCGAGGCTCACTGCCAACCCCTTTGGCACGGAGCTCTGTGAGCAGGAACCAGCTCGTTTGTGGCGAGTATTAATTAAGAGAGAGGTGATGCAGGGAGGTGGGGAAGGGCCTTGGAGGGCAGCTTCTGACAACACCAGGACTGCCCGAGGACCGGGGGGGCTACCCTCCAACCTGAGGTGCCCGATCTCTCCGCTGGCTCTGGGGCAGAGCTCTCCAGCTGTCTAGCCCCTCGTCTCTGCAGCCAGACTTGCTGGGGTTGGGGGGTGGGTCAGGATTGCATCTGAAGGGCCTGCTGCGTGCCTTGCGAGCCGGCGCCAGCCTCCCTGTGCCAGTCCCTCGGGCAGCGCGCCTTGTGGTCAGCCTGCTTTGCGGCTTGACTGTGGAGTCAGACAGTCCCAGGTCCTGTACTATTACCACCATTGCGCAGCCCACTCTCTGGGCCTCAGTTTCCTTGTCTGCAAAACAGGAGCAATAACACCCCCCTTTTGGCTTTGTTATGACAGTAAATAGGACCATTTGTGCTCTTAGTCTATGCCTGGCAAATAAACAGTCCTTGCTCACGGGGCAGAGGCCACATCCAGAGCTGCTGGGGGCTGGGCCCGGGCCTGCCTGGGGCCCGCCGTGGTCCATCGCAGGCCCTCACCCTGGCCCCCGCTTGCAGCCGCTCCCCTCTTGCTTCCCTGTGGCTCAGCACTGCTCTGGGAGCGCCCAGCCACTCCTCGCCTCTCCATCTTAATTAGCTGCTTGTATTAATCTCACAAGTAACGTGGCAACTTGCAGCCCTGGGTTTTCAGGCTGTGGAATTAATTATTCCCCAAGCAAAGAGCTGTCAGCTCTGGGAGACCGGCCACTCGGAGCCACTGACACCACTTAGCAGCACCCACAGGTTCCACAGGGCGGCCCAGGCCTGCAGCCTGGCCATCCTGGAAGTGGCCCCAGTCCTGGCCTGGGCTCTGCTCCGTGTCCCCCTCATACACAGGAGCTGCGACAGGACCTGGGGAGGTAGGGTAGGTGCCAGAGCCATGTAGGAGCAGAAGGCCCTGCCTGGGAGCCAGGACTCCTTGGGCTGGGGGGCTGAGGCCCAGCTGGACCCTGACCTAGGCAGCCCCCAGGCCGGGGAAGGCACCTGCCCATCTTACCCATCACTTCTGATCAGCAGCTGTGCGGCCAGAAGCTGGAGCCCAGGCTGAGGGGCGGTGTTGGCTGGCACAGCCCTGACAGGCACCGGAGAAGCCGCTGACTTCCCCTTGCCGCACATCAGCCCCGTGGAGAGGAGTGAGGCCAGCCGGTCAGGCAGGGGGAGATGGACAGGGCAGCCCCGGCAGCTGGCTGCCCAGCGCCAGGCTTCAGGCCAGAGAGGGGGCATGGAGCTGGAGCTCAGGACCCTCTCTTTCCCTTGACCTTCACACCAACCCTGTGGTGTGGCCTTTTCCCCCTGGGGAAACTGAGGCACAGAGCAGGGTGGCTCAAGCCACCCATCTGTTGAACCCAGTGCCCTGGGCCCTCACTGCACCGCCCCTGGATGGCATCCTGCATCACACATGGTCCCTGCTGTCACTGTCATGTTAGGCTCCCCGGGCCCTGGTTTCCCAGTCCCCCCACCCACATACACATTTATTCTCCAGGGGCACTTGGCAACTGCAGGCGCACGTTTGCATCCTAGTGGCTTCCGGTCTGTGCCCCTCCGCAGCTGGGGAGCCCCGAGGGCAGGGACAGGCCGCACCTCTGCACCAGTCCAGCCACTCTAGACCCCTCAGGCAGCTGCTGCCCCACCCCCAGCACCCTACAAAGCCCAGGCCCACTGGGAAGTCCCAGCTCCACCCCTCAGAGGAGACCCAGGGACCTGGGCCACCACCAGACCCAGCTGACAGCCCCACACCGCTGTCCCCTCACAGCGCTGCCCTGCCTGCCACCCCTCCCAACTGACCAGCCTTTGTCTTTCTCTTTTGCAGCCAACAGCTCCCTGCTGGGAGGCGGCGGAGGTGAGTGGGCCCTTGCTGTGGCCTGGGGGCATGGGGCTGGCTGGGGCTGGGTGGGGCTCTTCCTTCTCGCCCTTCTTTTCTGCCTCCCACCTCCCAGCCCTGCCCAGCCTGCCATCACTGAGATAGAACGGGACACCCGGATGGCAGGCTGGGCTCCTTCACTGCTGGTGTCCCCACCCTCTGAACAGAGGATCCTGGTCTGTAACTGGGGTTTGGGGGACACTTGAAGTTTAGAAGGGGCTGAGCCTGGGATTAGGGGTGCAGGTGTGGGGGAAAGCACTGCCCTGCCCCCACCCACCTGACCTCAGCAACCCCTGTACCCACTTGTCAGGACACAGTTATCTGCTCTGCCCCGAAACCTTGCAGGGCAGCTCCGCCACCAGGGCCAGGCCTGGGAGCAGGGCCTGGTGGAGTGGGGTCAGGGAGAGCTCCGCCAGCCAGTCAGCCCCAAGAAGGTTGGTGTGCTAACCACCAGGAAGCAGTGGCTCCTACGGGGCCAGGTGGGTAGGTTGGAGGTCCGAGTGGGGCAGGCCGCCAAGGGTCCAGACCAAGGTAAGCAGGTACCTGGGGGGCTGCCTCGCCGCACTGCCCAGGCCGACCACAGCTGTGCCTCGGCCCGCCGGGCTGCCTGCTGTCGGCACAGGCAGCCAGATGATTGGTGAGCCGGGGGCCAGGGGTTAATGCGCCGTCGGATAAATCCCGGGGCATGTTTACGGCAGCGGTGGTGGGGACCAGGCCAGGTTTTAAAAGGGGGAAAAATAAAAGGGGCAGGAAGGTCAGGAATAAATAAGAGCGGTGGTAAGAGTGGTAAGAGCTGTCAGTGACCGGCCAGGATGCAGGACGGGGGGTCTGTTTGTGGCCAGAGATGTTTTCGCTCCCACTCGCCTCTGTTTCTCCTCCAGCTCTCCCTGTGAAGGTCACGGCCATCCCAGCTGCCTCACAGAATGAGGGGCTTCACTGGGGCTGGGGGCCCACAGACAGTGGGCCATGAATCTTACAGATGGCTGGGGACCTGCTGGGTCACAGTAAGGACTGTGGCCTTGGCTGTGAGGCGAGAGCCCAGGCAGAGTGCTGAGCAGAAGAGGGGTGACGGCCTGACTCAGGATCTAGATGGCCCACACCTTTCTGTGCACCTCTTCTGTGACCCTCTTCTGAAGTCTGTCCTTTGGAGACCTCGGGGGCCCTAGTTAATGTAGCACCTGCCCTGCCCTGCCCGCTGCTGCCCTCCCCGCTGCTGCCCTCCCCGTGTCTCTTCACTCACCGCCCAGTGACTGAGCCCCTGCCACAGGCTGGGCCCTGAGCTGGGCGCCAGGGAAGATCTGCCGAGCAGCAGAGGGGGCTGGCACCTGCCCTGCCAGAGCCCCCAGGCCACGTTACACAGGGGGGGTCTGCGCGCTGCGGGTGGGATGCGAAGGCCCAGTGGGAGCCCGGTGAAGAGCCCTGAGCGCTCCAGTGAGAGCAGCGGGCCGTCCTGGGCATGGGGAGCAGCACGGGTGAAGGCCTGAATCGAGGGGGATGTGGGGTTTTGGGGAGACACAGAAGATCCAAGCGGCCAGAGGCCAGCCGGGAGGAGGGGAGCTGGAAGATGCTGCAGGCGCCAGAGACCCTTCAGCTCCAGAAGACAAAGGTGCACATAAAGGTGTGGCCCGTCTAGATCCTGAGTCAGGCCGTCGCCCCTCTTCTGCTCAGCACTCTGTGCCTGGGCTCTCACCTCACAGCCAAGGCCATGGTCCTTACCATGACCCAGCAGGTCCCCAGCCACCTGTAAGATTTATGGCCGCTGCTCATCCCTGTCACTCTGCAGCAGCCACACCGACCTCCTTGCAGTTCCTGGAACAGATCTGGCCCGCTCCCGCCTCAGGGCCTGTGCATTGTCTGTTCCCTCTGCCTGGAATGCTCTTCCAGATGCCACGTGGCTGCTCCCTTCGTCTCTTACGGAGTTTACTGGCATGCCGCCTTCTCAGTGAGGCTCCCCCTGACCCCTAATTGAAGCTGCCGCTGCTTGACCCTGGCCCACCCACCCTGCACCCCCCGGAGCCCTCCCCCCCCCCCCCCGCTCTTGGTTTTTCTTGTCCTCAGGGTGCCTCTCTTCCTAAGGTGCCATATAATTTGCTTATTTATCATGTTCATCATTTGTTGTCTGTCTCCCCCTGAGAACAGGGGTCCACAGGGCATCACTGCATCACCAGTCCCTAGAACTGGGTCTGGCATATGTAGTAGGTGCTCAACAAATGGTCATTGAATGACCGAATGAGGCACAGGTAAAGGCAGGGACCACCTTTTGTGTTAAGGACTCTGCTGACGAGTGCGGTGGGCGCCAGTGAGGTTTGGCAGGGCAGGGGCGGCTCATGGATGGCCAGGCTGCATGGGGAGGCACAGCGGGGTCCTTCCAGCTTCCCTTCCTGCAGGACTGAGGGGAAGAGGCAGCTGGAGCAGGCCCCAGGCACGGCCTGACTGACGCAGAGATGGATGGGGTGGGCCGGGACCCAGGAGGAAGTGGGCCCGCAGTCCAGCCTTTTAACGCGGCTGAGATTTATGGAGCCATCGAAAGTGCTCACCGGGGCTGTCACTCTGCTAATGTGATTGGAACAAGGTGGAGATGGCACGGAGGGGAGGGGACCGTGGTGGGGGCGAAGCTGGGCTGGTGGGGGCCTGGTGCCCGCCTAGGGCCAAAATGGATACAGGCCTAAGCGCCTGATGTGCTCTGTGTTCACACCTGCATGGGTGGGGGGCTCCAGCAGGATACCCAGGGACTGGCAGCCCAGGTTGCCCACCTCACTCTGCCCAGGTGGACCCCAGTCTTTCCATGGGGTTCCTGAGGTTCCTCCCTCTTTTTCTGAGTCCAACCCCACAGGGCTTCTGGCTTCTGACCACCCTCACCCTCCTATTTCCACCTATTTACCTACCAACACACCCATCTCTCTACCCATCAACCACCCACCTGTCCATCTACCCACCCATCTGCCCACCTATCCACCCACCCTTCTAGCATTTAACAAGCATTAGTCTGCTGGTGTGCTTGGCCCGCCCCGGCCACGCCATTTGAACTGGACCAGTCGGCCATAACCGCTATGCCAGCCCTCTCCCTGCTCTGTGGCTTTTCCTATGCTGATCCCCTTTAAAGTCCTGTGTTTTCCAGTCTTATTGCCTGTCTTCCTGGGGGCAGAGTTCTAGGTGATTCCCAGCCCCTAGAATAGCCACTGGTTGCATCCTCTGGGCGCTGGGCCTGCCCTGGGAGCTGGGACACAGGTCTAACAGTCCTGTTCTAGGGGGTGCAGCAGGCAATAAAACAGAGAGGGCTGGAGCAGCTATGGCTTAGAAGAGGGCCCCAGAAGGCACCCGGGGCCTGGCCTGCAGGGCTTTGGTGCAGCAAACCCAAGTTTTTCCTGCGAGTGTGTGGTTCAGGGTGCGAGAGGACCATAGCCTCCGGGGAGCAGAGGGAGTCTGATGGCACGCCCAACCTCAGTGAGCACCCCTAGGGGCTGCTGGGGCCAAAGGGCTTAACCCAAAGGGCCCGGGGCTCCTGGGCCTGCGGCACTCCCGGCTGGGTCCCCACCAGGCCCTGAGAGCAAGGTGGGTGGTTCCGGCAACACAGTGAGTCTTAGGGAAGCCCTCTTCCTCCTCATTGCTCTCCAGGACTCTCTTTGAGTGCGCGTGTGTGTGCATGTGTGCGCACGTGTGTGTGTGTGTGTGTGTGTGTGTTTGGGCTGAGGAGGTTGGTGAATGTCAAACACTGGGACTCAGGGCTTGGCTCTGCCCTCAGAGAACTAGGAGGATTCCCAGAAGAGGGGGCATTTGACTTGGACCCTGAAGGCTGAGTAGGAGTTTGGCAGGAACAGTGGGATGGAGAGGCCCACCAGATGGAGGACCCAGTGTCTGAGGTGAGGAGACTTGCGGGGGCTGGAGCAGCACCCAGCGTCGCAGCCAGGCCCTGAGACCCTACCAGGCCCACTCCTGCCCACTCGTCTCCCTCCTGGAGAGATTTTTACTGGCTCAATAAAAAAAAAAAAACTCCTATTGTATGGTAAGAAGGGAGGTGGGCCCTAAATCAGGATGGAATCGACAGGGCCCCGACGCGTGTCTCTCCTGTTTATTAGGACTGAAATGTTTACTCGGCGATAAGGAGCCGGCTTTCTCGTGGAGATTTGTGCGCTCTTTTTCAATTACCCCTCGTCTTTCTCTGCCACTTTTGCACTAAAGGGATAATAAATGTATCGGAGCATTTCAATTATTCATCTAAATCATGACTTCGCCTGCCACGGCCAGCTTTAGTGACAGATTAATTCAGGGCCGCCTTCCTCTGCTTCGTGGCCGCCATCTCTGCCCCTGCCTGGCCAGCTTCCCAAAGGGCTGGCCTGAGGGGTGGCCACGCTGGGGTCAGGCAGGGCCCTGGCAGGCACAGGCAGGCAGGGCAGCATGGAGCCTGTCCCCACACACGCACTCACTGATGGGGCACTCCTGCCCATCCAGAGGCCAGCAGCCCCACCCAAACCTACCAGTGGGGGTGCCACTCCTTGCCCTCCTGCTTTGTTGGCTCTGCACAGCCCCTGCTTCCTGCCCACGTGGCTGGTATGTCTCGTACACCTGGTGTCCCAGGTTGCTCACTCCTGAGAGAAGCCAGGGTGGCTCAGGTTCTGCCACAGCCCTCTTCTGGCACAGGGCCTTTGCACATGCTTCTCCTGTGCCCAAGGGCTCCTCTGCCCTCCCACCACAACCTTCCCTCCTACCTGTCTCGATGCCAGGGCCACCTCTCCAACCACTGTTCCATTTTCTGAGGGCTTGCCATGTCCCCAGCACTATCCTGGACACTGGGACCCAGCAGACCCTGCCCTGGTGAGCAAGCATTGTCACCCTTGATAATCAGACTCCCATTTGTGTGGTCATTGAAGTAGCAACTGCCTCCCCTCCTAAGGGACATACACTTGGCATCTGTCCATCTCCTGGCAAAGCAGAGGCACTCCTTACACACCTGCTTCTGGACCAGCTGTGCCCAGAGGCCCCTATGCTCCCAGCCGAGGCACCTGTGTGCGTGTGCACCCATCCCTGCCCAACCCAGAGTGGTCCCTCACAGCTACCACCTGCCACCCTGGGCCCACCCTCTGCTTTCTCCATGCACAAACCCAGGGCCCCAGGGGCGGGCACTCTCTTCTTGCTCTGTCACTTTCTTGGTCTCTGCCCCCCACACACTTGCTCTCCCCCGCTCCCCTCTCACGCTCCCCCTCCCAGGCGCCATTCCCTCTTGCTCCCTCTTCTTTCTCCATCTCATTCTCTCCTTTTCTTTGCTGCTCTTGCTCCCTCCCCTCTGTGCATAGACAGACAGGCCCAGGAGGATCAGCAAGGCCTCTGAGTACGCAGGCCCTGACGTCTGCCCAGTTTGCGCGCCCTCCTGCGTGGTCCTGCCCCGGCACTATCTCCCATCGCCTAGCACCGCTAATCCGTGACTGCTTCCTGTGGCTGCCAGGAAAAGGCTCTGCTCTGCCTGCTTCGAATAGCCGTGGCCTGGCACAGTGGGCAGATCATGTGGCCTCCGTGGCCCTCTCCAGGCCACTCTGTGTGTGGCAGGGCCCACCCCAGGCTGGGCTGGGCCCAGAGGAAGCAGGCGGCCCCAAGGAGCTGACCAGCAGCCCAAAAACTCATCTTGGACGCCACTGTGTGCCAGCTCAGGGCGGGTGGGTGTACGGGGCAGGGTGTGGCTGGGACCCTCTGACCTGGAGTTGTCTGGGGCTGGGTGACATGCTGCAGCAGAGAAAGGAGGGCATTCCAGGATGGGGGCATAGCCGAAGCCCCCAGCAGCCAGCTCAGACCACACTCCTCCCCTGCTCAAAACCTTCCACTGCTATGGAATCAATTCCTGGCTCCTCACCACTGCCCACCAGTCCTGCAGACACAGCCCTCCACTCCCAGCTTCCTCCTGGACTCACCCCCCTGCCTGCTGAGCCCTCTGCCTGTCCCCGCCCTCCGCAGCTTTGGGATGGGCCTTCCTAACCGTGCAATTGTGCCCACAGCCTCCCACCTCCCTTCCCTCTAGTCCCGCTCTATTTTCTGCCATTTCAGGGCTTGCAGTGACAGTAGAGTGTCCCCTGCCTCACACAGAGCCTGGCACCAGGCGGGCCCCCTCCCCTCTGTTGAATGCGTGTATGGTTAGAGCCAGGTGGGAGGGACCAGAGGCTAGACCGTCATCAGAGGAGGCGGCTGGAGGAGCCCCAGCTTTGTCGGGGCTTGAGGACTTTATTTCAAGGACCATGGGAACCATGGAGATTTTATGAGCAAGGGAGTGACGTGCCAGCCCCAACTAAAGGTACTGGGCCAACCCTGCGAGGATGGTTGTGGTGCCAATGGCACCCCAATGTCCCGAGCACTCTCCGCACAGATGCCAGGGGCCTGCCAAGCCTCTCCCTGCGGGAGTTTGCAGGCCCTCACTGCAGCGCTATGGGTACACTGTTAGCTCCATTCTGTAGACAGAGAAACTGAGGGCCAGGTCCTGGGGCTGAACCGTGCTCCCACCTGCACCCCCACCCCCAGTTGGCCATCCCTGCACTGGAGGATAAGGGGACACAGTCCCCCAACAGGCCCGTGCCCCACCCCCAGTGGGCTTGATGCTGCCAAGCCCCTGCGTGCAGCTGCCACGGGATTTCTAATAACGGGAGTGATTTTTGCATGATGAATGAGGCGCTGCCGTTGTGTACATAATGAAGCCCTAATGTTTTCAAATCCCCATTTAAGGAGCTGATCTCACCCTGTAATGAATTTCAGATCACATTGCAGATCTGCTGTCCATCTATCTTCTCCCTGGGGCACCCACCCACCTTGGCACAGTGACGGTGGGGCCTGGTGAGGGTGGGCTCCGCACCCCCCAAAGGGCTGAGCCCAAGCCCAGCACAGAGCTGGGGCTGGCATGTTTGTTGATTGCATGAGTGACCAGGAGGGTGTGGGTAGAGGCAGAGGTGGTTCTGGCAGTGGGGCGTCACGTGGAGTCAGTCAGGGCCTGGAAGGAGAATGGAGAACAGAGATGGAGAGTGTGGGGTGCACCTAGAGAGAAGGGGGTGCAAGGCGCCTGCGGTGGGTCATTTGTTCAGGCTTTATGGCTGAGCCTGCCCTCTGCAGGGCTGCAGCTGCTCAGGCATCTGTCCTGTCCTGGCTGGTACCTTCCCCAGGGACTCAGTTTCTCCATCTGCCCAGTGGAGCTTGGCTCCTTCAGCCCCAGCATTAGGCATTTCCATGCAGGTGGCCAGAGCCGGGGCTCGAGCAGTGCCCTCTGCCCCAGCCCCTCAGGTCTCTGCCCACACAGCCCATGGCTAGCCATGGTCTCCCCATCTGTAAAACAGGGTGACCCTGTGATAAAGCACAGGCCGCTCCGGGGCAGCTCCTCTGTGCTCATGCTCCATTCTCTGTGCTCATGCCAGTGAGGTGGGAAGTGCTCTTACTGACCTTGTACAGATGAGGAAACTGAGGCACAGAGCGGTGAAGTGACGCAGCCAAGAGTTGGGGGGGTCTGGGGGCAGGGCTTGGGTCTCACGGCCCCAGGTGTGCTCTGTCACTGTGAGCCAGGCCTCCACACAGACCCAGTGAGCTCGGTTCAGAGGCTGAGACCCAGGGCCTGTCCTCTCCCTCCCTGCTCTGGGGCCCACGGGTGCCCAGAAAGGGCAGGCAAGGCGGAAGGCCGCCCAGTCAGGGCCTGCCAGTGGCTTTGTCCCGTGGCCTTCAGCACTGCTCCTATGAGGCGGGGCCAGGAGCAGCTCCCGGCTCCTGTTCCCTCTAACTGAGATCACAGACGCGCTGCTCATCACTCTGTCGGCCCTCTCCCAGCCCCCAGGCTACTTCTTAGCAGATCTCAGGCCTCCTCACAGCTCTCGGAAGCCAGTCCTGAAGCTCAGAGAGGTTAAGTGACTTGCCCAAAGCCACAGGCAGGGTGGTGGGCAGGATTTCTCGGACAAAAAAAAATCCCAGTAGGGGGCACACAGTGGGCCAGACCCACAGGACAGTGGGGTTGGAGTAGAGGGACAGGCCCAGGGCTGGTCAGGGTCTCCTGCCCTGAGGGCACCATGGCCCCCTTGCCCCCAGGCCACAAGCCTCCTTGTGTTCCTATAAATAATTAATTAGTCCCTGCTTACTTGTTTGTTTAGGATGAGGAGTGCTCCCCCACCGAGATGCATTTATTGCTGAATAAATTTAAATATCTAATCTTCCCTTCATGAATATTACAGCACCCTAAATAGCCCAACCGTTTCCTAAGCGCCTTGGCAAATGACCCCCGCAGGAGCCTGCCAGCCTTCCGCCCCTGCTGACTCTGAGGCGGCCCTGGCCCCAGCCCTGCCCTCTCCTGTGCCCTCCCCGTCCCAGACCTGCCAGGAGGGCCCTGGAGACTGTGCCCCTGGAGACTATGCAGAGTGTACAGGCCACGCTGCTGGCAGGAGGGCTGGGGTGGGCTCCCAGCAGGGGTGGCTGGGTGTAATTGGGGGAAGCACCTGGGACCAGGGCAGAGGGTCAGGGCTGGGGCAGAGAGAGGGCAGACAGGGCCCCCAAACAGCAGCAGCGTCAGAGGAGCTCAGGAGGGACACAGGGGAGGTCGGAGGAGCAGAAGGACTGGGAGACAGGTTCTCCAGGACAGCCCTGCTAGGCGCAGGGGGCCACCCTCAGCATGGTGGGAGCAGCCGAGCAGGCAGGTAAGGGGCGTGGCTCCAGACTGCTGGGCAGCCAGAGGTGCCCAGAGTCCCTCTGCTGCGAGGGGGATGCCTGGTGGGGTGGCGGACAGGAGCCCGGCTGCTGGCACTGGCCGTGAGCAGGGGTGTGGAGACAGCAGACAGAGCAACGTCTTCCCCAGGTGTCTGCGTGAGGAGGGTGGCCCAGGAGCCAGCCAGCCAGGGTGGGAGGGAGTTCAGGGTGGGGAGCGTTCGTCCGGGACCTGGTAGGGAGGCACTGAGGCTGGCCCCACCACCCACATGAGCTCAGTCTCCTGGGGAGACCCCAGGTTTTCTGCTGACTTGGAGTGAGGTGGGGGTTGAGTTGGAGATTGAGGTTTGTTCAGATGTGGCTGAGGGGCCCAGGAAGGGGACTGAAGGTCAACTAGTAAGAACTGGGGACAGCCCCCTCCTACCAGGCAGCCCCAGGGTAGGGTGCAGAGCGGGGAGGAGGGAATGTCCCTTGTATGGGACCTAGGAAGCTGCCTCCTGTGGTCTCCAGGGGCTCAGCTTGACCCAGCATAAAAGCCAGGACAGGGTCTGGGGGTCAGAGCCAGGGGAGCCATGGGTACTGTAAACACAGGAAAGGTCAGCCCTTTGGGCCTCTAAGGACAGCAGGGCTGGATCCCCTGTGGCACTCAGGGGTGGCAGAGCAGCGAGGCTGGTGTGTGGACAGGGAGGGGCCGGCAGGAGGCGACCAGGCATCTGAGTCCCCGCATGCCGGGCTAGTCTGTCTGGTGTGCTGCTGGGAAGGTGGGGCCAGTTGTTTTCGGGGCCTTCCCTCATCTCTGCTTTGGGCAACTGCTCCCCTGGGTACCTGCACTGCAGTCACATGACCCGGGCCCGGCCTGGGTGCTGCTCAGGATGCTGCAGCCCAAGGCCTCTGCGAGCTGCACTTCCTCCCTCCACCTCCCACTTCATGCCCCCACATTAGCCCCAAAGGCCTGGCTGCAGGCCTGTCCACTTCTGCAGGAAACATTAAGTCCCTGAAACACAGCTCTCAACGAGCTGCACTTCCGCACAACCCCCACAGCGGGCCAAGGTCGTCTGCAGGGCGGACAGCACTGGGAGAATGGCAGGCAGCTGTTACTGAGTGCCTGACACCAGAGGTCCCCAGGGGACACATCTCTGTGCTCGCCCCCTTATGCCCTGAACACCCTGTACACACCTTGCCTGGACACCTGCCTCCCATCACAGCCTCAGGTGTGCACATGTGGAACACGTGCCCATAGTAATGGTCCTGATAACAGCCAGTGGGCACGTGGCCTGCACTCATGCCATGCACCAGCTTAAGCACGTCACAGGAATCCTTTACTTAATCCTTCCAGCCCTATAAGGTGGGTGTCCATGCTTGTCACATTTACTTGTTGGGTAATTCAGGTCCAGAGAATTTAACTGATGTGCCCTGGGTCAAATCTGTGTGACTAGCTGAGCTAGAATTGGAACCCTGGATGTCCGGCTCCACAGCCCCTGTGGTTGCACCCTGGGGGCCAGGTGGTCAGTTGACAGCCCCACCCACAGCAGACACCCTGCACAGACTGTACAGCCACCATGCAGCACCTGGCCCCTCAGCTCAGGGACCCTTCCTTGGGCCCCACTCTCTGCCCCCTCCCCCAGGGCTGCAGCTGCACAGGAGAGGCAGGGCAGGGGCCCAGTCCCAGAGCCCCTCCCAGGGACCCCCCAACTCCTCTGCCTCTTTCACACCCACCCCTGGGACACTCTGGGAAATCGCCTGGTGCCAGTTCCCAGTGAAGTGGCAAAATTAGGTTTAATTGGGCCCAATAGGACACAAAAGAAAAAAGAAGGGGGCAGGCCAGCTGGTGCCACCGAACCTGTGCCAAGACGTTGGGGGTAGGGCTGTGCCTCGATTTGCGCATCTGTAAAATGGAGAAATGGTGGTCCTTTCCTGCTGCTGTTCATTGTAAGGGCCAGCAGGCAGCTGGTGCCCAAAGGATTCCCTGGCACAGACCTGGGGTGTGATGGGAGCCAACGATCTGCCAGAGGTGGGCTATGTTCTCCCGGCCTGGATGCCAACTCCTCCCCTCAGGAGGGGTCACTGTCCCTATTTTCCAGATGAGGCAATAGATGCTCGGAGGGGGAAAGGACATGCCAGTGTGCCCCACTGGCACAGCCGGTCTTGACCTCGCCTCTCCCTCGAGAGCCAATCAGGCGGCGGCGCCAGGCTAGGTCGCGCTGAAAGAGCGCCTCCTCCGCGCCTCCCACCGCGCGCCGCTTGTTTATCTGGGCCCGGGTCCCTAGGGTCGCTGGCTGAGGCCCCCGAGCCGCCCTCGGATAAACAAGCCCAGGCCTGGCCCCAGTGAAGCCGGATGCGCTAACAAGGCGGCTCGTTAACGATCAGGGAGGGGCGCGCGCTGCAGCCACCCGAGCGGCCAGGAGCCACGACCAGGTGCATCTCCGCACCCGGCGCCGGGAAGGGCCTGAAAGACCCCGGAACAAGGCTCAGGCCAGATCTGCCTCTTGTAAGCAGGTGGCCTCAAGTTCATCTGTAAAGCGGGTCCGAGGGCTTGCCGCGGCCCCGAGGGGCCTCGCCTTGGGAGGCAGGCCTTGAGGATGGGTGCGCAGGGCCGGTTGGCGGTCCCGGGCTCCTCGGGCCGGGGCGTCCACTAGCTGCGGGTCCCGCGGTGCGTCCGGGCCAGAGCCGGGAGGGCGTACTTCCCCCTTACGGGGCACAGTTGGCCAGGACGCCACCGTCTCGGATCCGTCCCCGCCAGGGGAGGCCCTGGCCGCTCGGCCAGGAAATAGCAGGGTGGGCGGGGCGCGCCCCCTGCCGGCCGCCCCGCGCCGCTTCACCCCACCAGGCCCGCCGCGGCCTTGCCGGCGCCTCGGCTTCCGCAGGTGTGAAACAAAAGGGGCGGAGGGTGAGGGGAGATGCAGAGGCTGAGGAAGAAAGGTGCGGGGCAGGGTGAGTCTGGGCACGGCGTAGGGAATGGCGGGTATTCCGTGCGCGGGCCTCAGCCTTCTCTGTAAAACGGGCTCTGGCGTGGCGCGGAGGCCCCGCGGCTCACTGCCCCTGCCCTGCAGTGGACGGCTGCATTCACCGGGCCGCCGGACCCCTGCTCACCGACGAGTGCCGGACCCTGCAGAGCTGCGAGACCGGCAAGGCCAAGATCACCGGCGGCTATCGGCTGCCGGCCAAATGTGAGTCCCACACCTCCACTCCCGTGGGGCGCAGACAGGACACCTTGTGTACGGGGGGATTAGGAGAGCAGCCCCACAGAATTTCTGAAGGCCTCCTTAGCCCCTCCTGGCACACCTGGGAAGCAGGTGGCGGGGAGGGGATGCGTGGAGGCTGGGAAGAGGCAGGACCTGCAGGGAGCGGAACAGATGAGAGGGCAGCGCCTTCGCGGACCCACTCGCGCCCCTTGTCTCAGCCGGGGCCATACAGATGTGGGGAGCGGACCCCGCGCGGGCCTGTGGTCTGTCGAGGTGTGCATTTGGGTTGGAGGGAACAGTGTACGCCAACATGGGTGGAGTCCTCCCCGGGGAGTCTCAGAACTTGGGGGAGAAGGCCTGTTTCTTGTCCCCTCCGGGGCCCAGGCCGGCAAGGAGAGAAAGCCGAGGACCGCGTGGACACCCCGGCCGGTCTGACCCGTCGCCTCCCACAGATGTCATCCACACGGTGGGGCCCATCGCCCACGGAGAGCCTAGCGCCAGCCAGGCGGCCGAACTCCGCAGCTGCTACCTAAACAGCCTCGACCTGCTGCTGGAGCACCGGCTCCGCTCGGCGGTGAGAGGCGTCTGGTGCCTGGCGGCAGGGGCGGCTGGGGGCCGGGGAAGACAGGCGGGCGGGAGGGGCCGGGGCGGAGAGTGACGCCGTCCCCTCTTCCCTCCCACCCTCACCCCCACGCCACCCCCGCCCCAGGCGTTCCCCTGCATCTCCACTGGCGTGTTTGGTGAGTGGGTCAGGGAGCAGGAGGGCGGGGGCGGGGAGTGGGCGGGCCCAGACGCAGGGAGGGGCCCGGGCGCTCCTGACAGTGGGCGGGGCCTGGTGCGGGCGCGTGTGACCGGTCCGCGGGAATTGGGCGCGGCGCAGGGCGCCCTGAGCTGGGGTCTCATTCCCGCCGCTCCCGGTCCCCACTCAGGCTACCCCAATGAAGCAGCGGCTGACGTAGTGCTGGCTGCGCTGCGTGAGTGGCTGGAGCAGCACAAGGACAAGGTGAGGCCTGGGCGCAGCCGAGGGGACCGGATGGGGTGGGACGACCGGGTGCATCTTGGCCCTGCTGACCAGCCCCACTAGTCAAAACTGGGAGCAGTGGTGCAGAGGACCCAGCCCATGGGGCTCTGGCCGCCCAAGCCCTCTGCGTCTCCTCCTTCCCTCCCGCGGCGGCGAGAAGGGGATGGCAGAGTGGTCGCCGCGAACCCCTTGTGCGAAGGGTGCGTTCTGAGCCTTAAACCGAGTCCATGAGCACCTCAAGGGCAAGGCAGGTGGAAGCCTGCAGGGGCAGGGGCACTGGTAAGACCGAGGAGCCGGGAGCCAGGGTGTGGGTGGCCCCTACACGGCCTGAGTAGCCTCTGGCGCAGGTGGACAGGCTGATTATCTGCGTGTTCCTGGAGAAGGATGAAAACGTCTACCGCCAACGGTTGCCCCACTACTTCCCCGTGGGTACGTACTCCACGGTGCCTATGCCCCTGCCAGCCCCTGCCAGCCCCTGCCAGCCCCTGCTGCTCCCTCGTGCACCACGAGGCAGGTTCTCACTGTTCTCTGCCTTCCAGCCTGACAGCACCCTGCCCCCCACCCTGACCAGGACTGGTAAGCAGGGCCTGGCATGCTGTGTGGCTGCCCACTAACACCTGCCCACCTGCCGCCCCGCTCACCCCCACGCAAGGAAGCCAGGGAAGCAGCCTGGGAGGCTGGGGGAGCTCACAGCCCACCACACCCTCTGACTCTCTGCCCTGCCCGCAGACTTGCCTGGGCCTGCTGGACCTCAATCTCAGCTCTAAGGTCGCTGAAACCTGCAGGTGGGCCTGAGACTGGCCACCTCATTCTTTCCCCCAGGCCCCTGCCCCTCAGAGGCCTCCTAATAAAGACCACTCTTGTAGCTTCTGCAGTCCAAGCTCTGGCTGGGGGTGAGGGAGGCAGCCCAGAGGCGTGAACAGGTGTTTTAGCTTAAAGGGCTGGCGGGAGCTCTTGGTGAGCCAGGCGGGTGGAGGCACAGGCCGGAAGGCAGAGGTGGGCAGCAGCACTTCACATTTATTGAGGGCCTGCCCCCAAGGAGCTCACAGCCTGGGGGCCGAGACCCCAAATGTGCTGGGGTGGGGAAAGAGAAGAGATGACGGGCAAATAGAAGGCAACGCAGAGACAATGTGGCCCGAGCAAGGGGGTGCAAAGCAAAGACAGGCAGGGGCCTGCAGGCGGTGGGGGGAGGAATAGCCGCCTGGCGAGCCCTGGGGCCTGCAGACTAACCGCAGGCTTGAAGGCTGCCCCTGCCCCACCAGGTTGGCACCACAGGGGGTGCCCCACTTTTCCACCTGCCCTGAGCCAGACCCCACCAGCACCTTGGCCCTCTTTAGTCAGGACTCCCCAAGCATGTAGCCTCTAATGGAAGGCAGGCACCTGGGGTCCTGGCCAGGAGGGCAGGGTAGAGGCCGAGCCTATAAGGGAGTAGCTGGAAGCCTTGGCAGACCTAGGTCCCTGGGCAAGTTCCCAGGGAGCTTCCAAGATCCCCTTGGGAGTCCCTGGGCCAGCTAAGGAGGAAAGGTGGGGAGGCCTAAAGGGAAGGGAGAACCCCACTAACCAGGAGGGGTCCTCAAGAGACCTAGCCCCCTCAAAACTTCTGGTGGGGAGACTTGGGGGTGGACAGGCAGAGAGCCTAGAGGAGTCCAGTTGGGGAGCAGGTGGACAGCCAGACATAAAGCAGCCAGGCAGAGAGCAGCAGAGCAGGGACACGCGCACACATGGCTCACCACCAGCATCCCCTTTAATAAAACACGGAGGTTGTGTGATGGGGAAGGGGGGAGTGAAATATAACCATTTACAACCACAAAAAACCTCTGTACATGTCTAGCGCCTGGCAGAGGGGCGGGCGGGTAGGCGGGCAGTGCAGGCCGGGCCGGCCCTATTTGTAGAGGATGTCGTAGTGTCCCGGCCGGTAGAGAAGGTAGACCTTGGGCTCAGAGCCCTCGGGGAAGACATGCGGGTTAGTGGTGCCGCCCTCGCCGCGGTCCATGTACTCCACCTGGATGGAGACACTGAGGGCCTGGGCCAGCGCGATGATGTGGATGTGGTCACTCTCCTTGCACATGGGCTCCACCTCCTGCGGCACAGGCGCGGGTCAGGGCCGGGGCCTCAGCGTCTTCCCCGTGCCCCTACTGATCCCTGTGCGCGCCCCCAGCCCCAGTGCTCCCCACCCTGAGGTCCTGAGTGTGAGAGGTGGGGCGGGGCTGGCACCTGCTGGCAGAACTCCTTGACAGTCCGCCCACCCTCGATGAAGTGCTCGAAGAACTTGCTCTCCCGCTGCAGGTAGCCTGAGGTGAGCAGCCGCAGGTAGACCACCAGGTAGTCCGAGGTACTCTGGTCGTTGAAGGAGGCCAGCAGCTCAGCTACTGAGGTCTGCTTCTCCACCTGCTCGATCAGGTCCATGAACTGCCGCCCAATGGGGACAGAGGGCAAGATGAGGGAGGAGGGGGTGGATCAACCCTGCCACAGCCCGCCCGCCTACCCTCTACTGTGGCCAAGCAGGTGACTGGTGGCTGGGCTCACCGTGTTGTGGAAATCCTCAATTGTGAACTCAGTGAAGCCCTGGGACACCAGGTCGTCCTTGCTCTTGGCAGACACAGCCTTGAACCTGTGGGTGGGAGGGAAAGGGAGGCCAGCATGGGCTCCCCGGCCAGCAGAGCAGGGGCCCAGAGAGGAGAGCCCAGGCATGGGGACCCCTACCCTCATCTTAGAACAGAGGCCCCGAGAGGGGCCCAGCCTCTTGTCTGGCCGCAGGTGGAGCTGCACTGCCTGGTCATCAGGAGGGAAGAGGGAGCCCCATACCCCCTCATGGAACTCTCAGCACCCCTCTCAGTGCCCACCCTCCTCACCGCTGCAATTCCTTGCTGTCATCCAGCAGCGCCTCCAAGTGGGAGAACCCGAAAGCACGATAGAAGCAGTTTCCGTCAGGCCTGGTCTTGCGGATGTAGGAGTATTTCTTGTGGAGGTCCTGTAGAGAGGCAGCCCCAACCCACCCACCCCCGTGCCCATCAACATCAGGCCAGAACCACGGCAGGCCAAGGAAACTCCCCAACAAAGGTCACACCACAGCAGGTGCCAAACCGAGCTCCAAGCAGCCACCTGCCGTCCTTGGGTACTGACTCTGGTGATGGGAGTCTGTGAGTGACCCACTTCTTAGAGCCCCCAAAGCCTCAGGAAATTGGGACTTATATGCACACTGGCTGCATGGGTCACCAAAGTGGTCACCAGCCGCTGGGCTGGGAATGCCACGCTGCTGGGCCTGCAGGGCTGCTTGCTCATACAAACAGGCAAGTGAATCAATCCTTGACCAATGTAGCTTCTCCCTCCCACCCACAGGTTTAAGAACTCCAGGGCAAACATGTTAGGACAAGGGTGCAGTGCGGGCTCCACTCCACCCAGCCTAGGGCAGGAACAGCCTCCCTGCCTCCTTCTAAACTCTAACCTGCCCACTCGCAGGTACCAGCTCTGGTTCACCAGCTTGTTTCCTCCCCAAACTCAATGACTGTCTTCTGTCTGCTGCACCTTCCCACACCAGTGGGCCATCAGCGGGGTCTGGTGAGCAGGCCTCACGCCCGCGGCTTGAGCACCCTGCCCTTCTCCGTTCTCCGTAGGCCCCTACCCCTCTTCCTGATGGCCTCTCTTCCTTTTTGACATGGATTGAGCACCCCGGCCTCCAGCAGCCAAGCTGCCCTCGCCTTCTCCTCTCTCCTGATCCCAGGAGGGTCTGAGGCTGCCACCAGAGCCCCCCCTCTCTTGGGCTCAAGGACACTGAGCCACGAGTCTCCCCGCCTCCTGTACCATCAGTTTTTCTGTCCCTACTGGTTTAGACCCGTCAGCAGATGAACACAAGACTTGTTCTCACTTTCAAAGAAACATCCTCTGCTTCACATGAAGTCCTTTCCAGCTCCTGCCCAACTTCTGTGCTCTCCTTCACAGCAAAGCTGCTCTGCTCACTGCCTGTTTCTCCTGTCCTGTGACCCCAGTCCAAGCAGGCTCTTACTGAAGGTCACAGATGCCCTCCTACGGGTATCAAACCCCCTCCTTCCCAGACTGGCCCCTCCCGTGGTGACCCCTCTCCTGGTCCCCCTCCCACCTCACCGCTGCTCCTCACCCTCACGTGAAGGGCAGGGGCGCCACCAAACCACACAGCACCCTTCCTCAAGACACCGTGTGTCACCTGCCAAAGGCATCACGCCACACACCCATCCACAGTGCCATCCTGTGAACAGCGCCACCCGCTCAGGCCTGGGATACCTGGATACCTTCTGCTGGCCAACTCTCTCTCTGGACTTTTCAGTCTTGGAATTTAAACAGCCCCAAATATAACTGTGCCCACTTGTATCTCAGCCCTCAACTCAATTCTGACTCACACATCCAACATGCTGGGCCTGACCTCCCCACTCACCTGCTCCTCCCGGCCTTCCCCTCAATTACCTGCAACTCCGCCTCTCACCTGTCCAAGCCAGAACCTTACCATCACTGCCAACACCCTCTCACGCCACACCCAGCCCAGAGAAGACCCTCCAGTGCCATCTTCAATACAGAATCCAACTGCTTCTCCCCTTCACTCCACCCCCTGGTCCCAAGCACTCCACCTCCTGCTGCTTTTATTGCAAAAGCCAAACCCCCTGCCCTGACCCCACTCCCCCCGGCAATCCATCCAGCCTGCAGCCAGAGCCACAGTAGCTGCCTGTAACCAAGCCCCATCTCCCTCCCAGTCCCTGTGGCCCCCAGCCCTCCTGCCCCCTGCTCTGCTCTAGCCACACTGGCCTTCACACCACTCGAGCCCCCCAGTGTGCTCCTGCCCAGGCCTCAGCCTGCACTGCTTGGCCCAGGCAGCCACCACCCGCTCCCTGGCCTCCTGCAGTTCCTTACTCAGACACCACCTTCTGAGCGAGGCCTCTGCTGCCCACCCCATGTAAAACTGCAAAGCCTCCCACTCCCCGTCTCCTTTACCGCTTTACTGTCCTCCACAGCACTTACCACCTTCGGACGTACACATTTTAGCTACCTCTGGCTCACATCTATCTTTCCACTCTGAGGTTTAAGTTTCCTGAAGGCACTCTACCTCCAGTACCCAAAACTGCCTGGCCTGCAGTGTGTGCTCACAAAGGTTAAACCAACAGCACACAATATACACACAGACTCCCAATCTCTGCAGCCCCTAGAACAGCTACTGGAATCATTCTGGGCACTATCTGGGTCAGGCCCTTTCCTGAGGGCTAATGTCCAGGATCCTATTAACCTGTATAGTGACCCATTTCACAGAAAAGCAAAGTCATCCTGGCCTGCTTATGCTCTGCTACCTGGGCTTAGGCTCCTCCTAGGGAGAAAAGAGGGGCTCAGAGCACACAGAGTGGGGTGTCGTGGGCACTGAGGCAGATCTGCACAGACAGCACACAATGGACACTTCAATACTTGCTAAATGACTTGATGGGAAGAAGCCAAGTGGCCCACCGGTCGATTTTTCCGGGGGGCCTCAGTGTGACAGGTAGGTCTTGATACAGGAGCCCTACTCTGCTAACCCACCACAGGGGAAGAGGAAGAACCCGCAGCTTCCCATGCTCGGGCTGTGTGCCGGGCACTAAACTCAGCATGTGCCCACTGCCATCTCCCAGCCTCACTCACCCTGAGACACAGAGATGAGGGAACAAAGGCTCTGAGAAGTCCAGTGTGTTGCCCAGGATCCCACAACTGAAAGTGAAGTCAGCACTTGAACCCAGGTCTGATGGGCCCCAGGCTAGTGCCTTCATCTCTCCACAGGCCTCTTGAGTAAATCACAAACACCCTGAGCAAGGGGTCAGATGAAACCACAAGCCACACACACAACTGCATCTGAAGGTGTACTGTTTGGCCCACACATT